AGATAAAGGATAAAAAAGGATAAAGCATTTGCCGTTGATCAATCCCTTTTTGGGATGCGGCACGCATTCTACTTCCATTTGTACATTCGTAGTGGCGTTTGAATGCGATGTGGCCTATACAATGACTTGCGGGGGCCAGCCGATGTACAAGTCAGTGTTTTTATCCTCCCAGACAAGTCTGGTACCAATTAACCGACCCCGGAGGGATGGAAGGCTTGGTTGGCCCGGCCAGGATTTGATCCCCGGACCGCTCGCGTGGTGAGCGTGCCACTTGTCACTACACCACTTCCGCCCCCTTCCCACCAGTACATCTCCAAATTAGCTCAACCGTCCGGCCGTTGCGTTCGCGGGCTTTGAACTCAGCATAGAAGTGGTTATGTGATAGAGATAAAGCCGCATGAGGTCAAAAGGATCTCAAACATGACAATGGATCCTTTTTTCAAAGGAGTTTTCCGTAGTACATGGATTAGCTTTTCAAAAAATTTTGTGGCTTTTATTGGCATTTTGAAGCAGACCCTACCATCGACCGAAATAGTGTAATTCAACAGCATAGGCCGACCTGCATTTACGTGACATGTTTGCGAGCGTGCGCGTTGCTGCACCGTAGGCGAATCTATAATGTTGGGGAGGGGGCGGGGGTTCACCACACGGCGCGACGCGTGTTCGTCTGCAACTCCAAGGCTTAGTCATAGGGCCATTACTATTCCACCACACCGTGGCAGTTTTGAAACACAATACCACCGCGGGCTAGGAGAGGAAGTCGGACAAAACGCCGCGCTGCCGCGTGCCCCCCCCCCCCGGACTACGTTAGCACCATATAATGTTGCCTGTGTGTAAAGAACAAGAAACAAATAACTATACTGCCAAAATATTCAAGAATACAAATCTATCTTCACTCAGGTCAGCAATGAGTCACAATGGAGTTTGATGTCAGCTATGTATTACTCGGGAACCCTGTTCACAACTATCGGTGAGTTCCAGATACCAGTTATCTTGCATGACTTATAATTGTCATAATTATTGACATCCATAAGTTTTCTTTTCTAGAAAAGTTCAGTCATATAACCATCAGATACAGTGTATAAATAAATAAAGGCAAAAGCAAATGAATAATGTCTCAAATTGGGTGGGATTGCTGACATAGTGGCTAGGGAAGTCTAATACTAGTCATTCTCAGTATCGATACAAGCCCACTAAGCATAAGAACCAAACTTAACTTCTGCTTCCCTTAGTATTCAGTGCCTATATACATGCTTAAAGGCACAGGACGGGACTGAGGTGATTGTTATTTTGTTTGGAAATTTGACTAGGAGTGCAATGGGGAACGCCAGAGGGAAGAACAAGCACAAAGAGCCATAAAAAAGACTGTAAATCGGCCGCGATATGACGCAGAGACACAGGACTGAGAGGAGAGAAAAACGCGAAAGAGCACGCCGTACGCGAGAGGGTGCAGACGCCACGTTACCGCGAATGAAATAGTGGCAGCGCTTGCAGCACACGAGGCAAGACCTTTTGACATACCTCGCATCTGAGTCGTGGCAGTGTGGCGAATCCTGAATTTGGGGACCGCCTTTCTTACTATGGGAGAGATTATCTTCTGGCACCTAATCCCAACTTTTAGCTTCAAAACGACATTTGTGACGCAGTAAAAGGATAAAATGATGAAAAATTTAGCGTCGATCAATAATTTCTTGGGACGCGCCATGCATTCTACTACATTTTAAGTGCGATTTTGCTTATACAGTATTTTTGGGGGCGAGCCGTTATATTACAAATCAGCTTTTATGCTTCCAGGCTAATCTGAAACACCAAACCAACTCAGAGGGGTGAATGGCTTGTGGCCAGCACTGCGTACAATTAGGCTTCGATCTGGGGCCGTGCGCGTGATAAGCAGCGTCACTTGCCATCGCACCACTTCCACCTTTGCAGTTAACAGCATAGATAAAATACATCTCAGAAGCTTTTACAAATTTCAATGGGTTTGAATTCATGGCGTATCCCGATATTGATTGACGACAAATACTTTCTTCTACACCATTTCTAGACGTATTTTGCAGCTCACTCTGACACACTTTTTACAACCTTTGGTATGCCGTTTGGCGTCGAATAGGCACCGAATCACTTTTCATGTGTTCGCATTTCAGCAGATTCTCATTAATTAGTCTGAAAATTCCATGGAACTTTTTCTGATGATCGATTGGATTGATGAGCGGTGATTAGTCGTAGTAAAAGCCTATTTGTTTTGTAGGCTTGCCTGGCACCAATGACTGATCACCAACCCTGCTACTTGGTGGCGGTTGTTTGGTGGGGCTGAATTGATTTTCAAGTACGACTAGGGAACAGCTCACCGTTTTGAGCTGAAGTGGCCTAGTAAAGTTCAATGCAAAAAATGCTACATAGATATGGAAAGTTGAACAGGGGTCGGTTGGTCCGTCGCAGGGTGTTCTTCATGCGTCTCTCATCATCACTCCTGTGCGTCACTATGATAACTTACTCCACTTCTTTGACGACATCTTATACAACAGATCTGGTCTGCTCCTAGCATAATGGTGTTGTCTAACACACTAATGCTGAGAGATTAACTGTAGCATTTTGGGGCCTAATTAGTGCCTAGGATCTGCATAGCATCATCGCCAAGTGGACTTGTCCACGGCCATGCCATGGTTCTATCTCACCCAAATACCACTGGTTTGAGACCGTTCACTCACGATAAGAAAAGAACAGTGAAATTGTGTTCGTTCCCGTAAACAATTCGAAAAATCGGAAGGATTGTACGCATTCAAATTCTCGCCGTGCATCTTTCACAGAGGTTGGGGAACTCTTTTTAGCCTTTCTACCTATGACAATGCTATTTCTTTTTTCTTGTCTACTTCTTACTTACTTCTCGACCGCTATTCGTCCCGGGCACGCCAGAAACGCAGGTCGCACATCTTCCAGGCCGCTCTGCTTCGGGCTCTTCTGCGCCACAGCTGGCCGTACAATTTTACGAGAGGGTCTGCCCTGGTGGGGGTCTGCCTCTGGGCCTTGTTTTTCCCCTTGGGTACCAGTCAGTCACTCTCTTCGTCCAGCGATCATCGGTAAGTCTAGCCACATGACCGGCCCACCTCCGCTTGGAATTATAGATGGCATCGACGACGTCCTTCACCATCGTACGAGCGCGGATGGTGTCATTGGGTATGCGGTCTCGGAGCGTTACCCCGCACATGGCCCTCTCCATGGCTCGCTGTGTGACTGCGAGTTTCTCCTCTTCAGAGACTGTGGTGCTCCACGTCTCCGCCCCGTACGTCATAGTGGAGAGAAAATGCTTGTTTGCAATGCTTGCATGAACGGCGAGATTTGAAAGACGTGATTTCTCTTTCCTGTCCTAATCCTCTGGTCTTTTCGTTTCTGTTTTCTGGATTCGGACACCTACACGCGACGCTTTCAGTGCGTCCCTGATATGTCCCCCGAGGCGTGTTTCTTTCATGCGCTCCCTTCTTTTCGCCCGTATTACCTTCGACCGTCTGTAGAATGTGGTTTTCGCAGGTTTGTTTCTCTTCGGAGTAAACCTCCTTACATGCCGTACGAAACGCAGACACCTTACGTGGCAAGGTACAGGCACCGCCCTCGCAAGAGACAAGGCCGTGACATTGCAAACTTCCCCGCATTCTCGAGTCATTAAGGTGGCAGCACTCTAACAGGAGGGACTTTTCCATCGAGGCACCATTAGAAAATGTGTATTTAGTACGTAGCAGTGTTTCAAATCAATGGTCGGCCCGAAAATGAACGAAGGGGAGCACAACTGGTAAGCGCGTTCTCACCTTCCTATGTAGGATAAATGCTAGCAAAATTGATTTAGCACTTAATCAAGCGGTGGGTACGCCATGCATTCATGTTTCATTTGGTATTTTGGGACTAGTTTAGTGTTCGGGAGCCGTTCTGTTGGTTTTCTTCCGCAACCACGGTAAGAAGATGAAACATCCGGCTCCGTGCCCACCTCTTCGATTCCGCTGTCCTTCCTGCCCTAACCTACGCCTCAGAGACTTGGACTCTGCGCAGGCAGGACGAGCATGCGGTCAGCGTTATCCAACGCGCTGTCGAGAGGACGATGCTAGGAGTAACCCTATACACGCAAGTGCAGAGGGGAATCCGGAGTTCGAACTACGCCAACGATCGAAGATCAGGGACGCTGCCGTTTTCGCCAAGGAATCGAAGATAAGGTGGGCCGGACACGTCATGCGATGACCGTTGGACCAGAGCGGTTACCGACTGGATCCCTCGGGACGTCAAACGAACACCTGGACGACCGCCGGCCCGATGGTCAGACTTCTTCACGAAAGCTCTGAACGAAAGGAATGAAGGACTTCGTGTCCCTCGAGCGAGGAGGATCCACTGGACCACTCTAGCACGCGACAGGGACGAATGGAGACGTTGCTGGCGCCCGCTCGAGCAAATCGATGATCAACGGGACGACAGGTGATACAGGTGACGGTGAAGATACACGTCTGGGAAATTTTCACCGTGCTCTGCATTCAAGCAATTGGCTATTGACCACCCTTATCGCTGTTTTTTTCGCAGATTACGTCTGCTTCCAGCATCAACTGTGAAAGCATATTGAACGCTTTTCGCTTCTGCAGACCATCCTATGTTCCTGAACTTACAGTCTTGTCCCTTCTGTAGAATTTCTTCAATTCACTGTTGCAGATACCATCGTTTTCAGGATACGGTGACATAGCATGTGTGACAGTAGCAGGTCGAATTCTTACCGTAATTTACTCATGTGTGGGTATTCCACTAATGCTCATCACACTAAACGATTGCGGAAAATTCCTTTATAACAACATCAACGGTTGTGTGAAGGTTGGTTTGAATTTTTAAAATACTAACTATTGTTACGGTCGGAAAATGTATCCATTCAAGCTGTTTAAACATGATTCGCTCGAAAATTTTTAAAATAGGTCCTGAAAATTGATTTTCTAGAATGTGGAGACTTTTGGCACCTATTTGGGTGTGTTCCGTATCTGCTCAAAGAGCCGTAGAAAAGAACCGAAGGGTGATGAGGTAAGGATATTTGTATTATGGCATTATATGAGGTTTTAGGAGCATACATTTGCGGTGTATATTTACATCTTTATCTGTATCCTATATCTAAACCTTGTATATGCAGTGTATATTTGCCTGAGAGAACGGGGGTCAGTGTGGCTTGGGGGTGAGAGGGGGGGCAGTCCACATGACATAGTGGAAACTCGAACATTTCAACTTTTCACACAGAGTACCCCTCCCCCCCCCTCAGGAGGCCCGTCGCGCGACAAGAAGGCGAGTCAGGGCGAGTTCCGCGCGGCGGAAAAATGGATCCCATTCCTTTAACCCTTTCGGACCTGAATTTTTCCCCGTGGAGAAATTTTTCTTCTAGCTATTGTTTATTACTTGTGAGCATATAGGTATCATTATGGCGAAATTTGGAAGCTATTCGATCACAAACAAAGAAACTAAGAAGCTTTGAAAATTGGCCCACCTTCTTAGTTTTTAAGCTTATGTCGAAACAATTCGAAATTTCATAGTTATGCCGAAAAAGTTTATAATCTTGCATAACATTATAACCCATAATTTTGATTTAGGAATGGATCTACTTCAAGTATTTTAAGAAAAAGTCACACTTACTTGGCCGGTTGCGGGGGTCAGCGCCCATTCACTGTTGCACTTGTACACAAATACTTGTAATACTAACAGCAATACACAATGAAATGGCAGGTTAAGCTCATAATTAGGAAGGGGAAGGTTGACTGAAGCAACCTCTAGCAGGATTAGAAAAACCATGCTGTTTCAGCGGCAATGCAAGCGTTTGAATTTGGTGGTGGCAATTGCCACCGCCAGGGCCGAAAGGGTTAAACACGATTCGCTCGAAAATTTTTTAAAATAGGTCCTGAAAATTGATTTTCTAGAATGTGGAGACTTTTGGCACCTATTTGGGTGTGTTCCGTATCTGCTCAAAGAGCCGTAGAAAAGAACCGAAGGGTGATGAGGTAAGGATATTTGTATTATGGCATTATATGAGGTTTTAGGAGCATACATTTGCGGTGTATATTTACATCTTTATCTGTATCCTATATCTAAACCTTGTATATGCAGTGTATATTTGCCTGAGAGAACGGGGGTCAGTGTGGCTTGGGGGTGAGGGGGGGGGCAGTCCACATGACATAGTGGAAACTCGAACATTTTCAACTTTTCACACAGAGTACCCCTCCCCCCCCCCCAGGAGGCCCGTCGCGCGACAAGAAGGCGAGTCAGCGGACGAGTTCCGCGCGTACTGTAGGGATTTCGCGTCAAGTTAAATAGAATGTTCCATTGTACGTCCTACATCGCTCACACGCTGCGACTCGTCCGCGACTCTGCCTTCTTGCCGCGCGACGGGCCTCCTGGGGGTACTCTTCCACGCATATCAAGTTACTGCCCTCACCCTCGCACCCCTAGACAGGCTACACTCCCCCTGGCTCATGGATTCCTTATTTCCACACCGAAGTAAGTGAACATGCCACGCGCCGCGGCGGCGACTGCCCCCTCCCCCCTCCCCACCGCGAGCTCATTGCGCCCGCGCAAGCTCTCCAATCGCGTAAGGTAACAGTCGTGATCAGTAGTGTGATGGAGCGCAGCACTTCTCACGGGAGCTCGCAGTATGTAGATCCACCCCTATAAGTTGTGCGTCGCCGTGCGCGACGAGGGATAAAGTCGCGCGGTCTGAAAGCGAATACTGCACGTTTTCCGTATGTTTTGATCAAAAACGTGAGAAGGGTTACCACGGGAAGCGTGAGAAGGTATCCCATAGATAGCGCAGCGCTTACAAGCTACCAACAGTGCCCATATAGGGGTCTGAAAATCTAGCCAAAGGCCGCTCACTTTAAAGTAGGATACCACGACAAGGTCGACGGTCGAGGAAGGAGAAACTTATTTAGTGGGAAGACGGACCCCCTAAGAGTACGGACCGATACACAATCGGCAGCGAAGGGATATACCACGCGATCTAGCATGGCCTATCCGCTGCGCTATCGACGCGGCACGCCCACCGACTGGCTAACCACTCGCCGCAGGTCTCTAGCCGTTTAGCAGAGAGAGAGAGAGCGTTAAAACTAAAGAGGGCAGCCGATGAGAGTCGCATCAATGCGGAAATCACTGGTAAGGAAGGAAGGGTCCCATTTCTCAGATTCTGGGCCGTTTCTCATGGTTTTTTCTTCATCCCGGCTCCACTGACCACTCTATCTGAACTCTATCTTGTGGACTGCCCTCTAATCGTAAACTTCGTCTTTAACTTTGAATCTTCTGACTAAATCATTTTCACAGTTGGCTCCTATTTAAATATGAAAATTATGTGAATTACAGGTGGATATGGCAGAACGGGGTGAGCTACAGACAATTGACGCCTCGTCGCTGGCTTCAGAATTTGGCAGCTTACCCTCGATTCGAGACATTGATGAAGAAAATGATGAGAAATCACCTCGAATGAGTGTAAAGGTTGGTCGTGAAGTTGTTTTTCGGCTTGAGGAAAATAGTTTTATTTTCTTGCGAGACTCACCTTTGAAATTTCTAATTTTCATTCACAAAAGGTATCACGTAGTAGAGGAGAATATCGACTACATTGTTCTTGTTTAGTATCTATCGACCTATTAATGATTTTGAAACTCAAGGAATAGTAAGAATTTTGAAAGAAGTAGCATATTTCGAAACATTTATGTTCCAACCGGGAGGGGGGGGGGGTTGGGTGGGGAAGGTGGAAGCTATTGCCCAAAATGGCTACAGTAGGCGCAGTCGTTGTTCAAGGAAGGGAGCGAACAGAACCCATAGGAACTCTCAAATCACACCACACTGATAACATAAGGCCGGTGTCATAGTTTGCGAATCGCTGGATCCGAGCGTTGCGCCAGCGAATCGAACTTTGCACCAGCGAGTCGAACCGATGCACCAGCGAGTCGAACGATGTACCAGCGACTCAATAATGGCGGGACGCCTCTTGATACGGTAATATGGTAAGCTGAAGCACCAAACCAGGATCAAGCGTGCGTTGTGCAGATTTCAAAATTTTTACGACCCCCTCCCTTTCGGAGGGTATCAGTACGACCCCCTGTATTAGCTATTGTGTCTTTTTACATATTTTATGCCATCATCGATGTATGGGCCGTCACCGACATGGAGAAGGTGGTGGACAGTGGTAAGTCCGCGCGCTTTGTCTCGCTCAGAGGACGAATTCGAGGCAACATGAACATTTATTCATTAAATAGAATTTCCGAATTTTTGTGGAAATTTAAGCACAATAATAGGGATTTCCACTTCCAAAAACCTACCAATTTTATTTCAAACTCCGAAACCTTTTTCTTTATAAACCTAATATAGCTAAACCTTGTATACTCCGAATCTCGAAGTCTGATTGGGCGTGTCACCGGAAATGACGTGGCAGCCACCGCACTTGATAGAAGTTGCGCGGATAAGCTGCTTCCACACGCTTTGCTGATATCTGGCGGAGTATTTTATCCACACATCTATCAAGTGCGGTGGCTGCCACGTCATTTCCGGTGACACGCCCAATCAGACTTCGAGATATCGACTGTATATCTACTCCACACAAAGCCGCACAACGCAAAATCGCAAACGGGA